CGGCCCCCGGCCGCTCGGTCCAGGGTCGATCGGGCGGAGCCAGGGGGGCGGGGGGCGCATTTTACGGCTCTTTCGTCCCCGCCCACCCCCCGGCATGCCAGCCCCGCCACCGGTGACAAATGTTTGCTCGACAGCCGCGGCCGACCAGCCGGCCAGCCGGGACACAGCGAGGAGGGGGTCACATACACACACACACACACACACACGCCCGGGGCCACGCATGCACCGATCCCACCACCGCGTCCCGGTTCTCGCGCCCACGTAGCTCTATTTGTCGGCTTGTGTGTCCCTATGTTTGCACGTGTGTGGGGGAGGACGTATGAGTTTGCTCGTCCGGTGTAATCTTGTCCCCCGCCCCCGCCCCCGCCCCCGCCCCCGCCCCCGCCCCGCCCCGCCCCCTCCGGTCGCCCCCGGCGTCCCCCGAGAGTGCTGAGGCACGCTAGGATGGCCCCCAGCGTGTCCGTGGCTGCCGCTGCCGTCGGGTTTCGAAAGTGCAGACGTTTCCAGCGCCGGCCCCCGGCCGCCCCCTTCCCCCGCCCCGGACAATCTTCCCCTACATGGCCCCTGGGGAAGTTTGGGCGTTTGTTGGCAGTCGTCGTCTACAGGGCCGCCTGCCCCCTCTCGATTGTCTGTAGTTCTCTCTCTCTCTCTCTCTCGCCCTAAGGTGTTCTGGTTTTACACTTCCCACATGCCCCTCGCTGTGATTTCCCTGTTCTTGGAGCCATATTCGAGAGTCCCCGCCGACACACCTCCCGGGATTGCCAGTTCACCATAGCCCGCCTCCTCCCCCGCCCTTGTCTCCCTTTCCTCCTCTCCTGGCCCATCTCCTTGCCTCGCCCCTCTCGCCACCCACCCGCGTAGTTTTCCCATCCCTCCCTGCCCGCCTCCCCGGCCCGGTGCGGCCCCTCCCCACCCCCACCCCCCCGCCCTCCGCCAGATCTCGCCCCCGCTCTGCCCGGGACCCGTCGCTTACTTTTAAAAAGCACACTCCAACACCCTTGCACACAGAGGCCTGCCGAAAAGAGGACTCCTGATGGGCGCCGCTCAGGGGAGATTCCCCAAATTCGCCTCCCCCAAGTCCAGCACCTCGCAGGGGCCCCCGCCGCGACCGCAACAGCCACACCCTGGCGCCGGGCCCCCGGCTGGCCATGTGCAGCCCCCACCCACGGGGACCTCGGGCCCTTCGACCATCCCGCCAGCCGGCCTGGTCAGCGGCTTCGGCCTGACCGAGAAGAACGAGGAGGACCCCTGCCTCGAGTTTGAGGCCGGCCCATGGCGTGCGTCCTCCCCTCCCCCACCTCCGACGATCCTACTCCCTTTCTCCCCCCCTCCCCCCACTGTCTCCTGCCTGCCCTGTGGCCGTCTCTTCTGACCGTTGCCTGTATCGTCCTCACCATGTGTTCCCATGCACATTCCGCCCCTCTCCCCCCCCCCCCCCCCATGCACAGTGTCCCTCATCTCGTGGCGCGAAATCCCCCCCAATGAGTCGGCCGCCGATGAGGCCAAGGCTGCCACGGTGGCCGAGCCCGCCCTTCTGGTCGGCGCCTCGGCCAAGACCCCCCCCGTTTTGCCGACCGACAGTTCTGCCGTGGCGATCCCCTCGGAGGAGGCTACTGCTCCCGGGCCGGAGGATGCCGTCCCCGTCTCCCCGGCGGCCACCGAGGCCACAACTGCCTGGTCCTCATCGGCCAATGAGTTGTCCTTGCCCCGGCTGTCAACCGATCTTCCGGCCAACCTGCCGCCGACCTTCCTGCCGGCTCCGGTTGCTCCGGTTATCCAACAGTCTCCCACCTCCGCCACGGCGCCCACTCTCCCGATTACCACCGGTGCGTGGTCGCTCGCCCACTCGCCCCCCCTGACACCCCCTCCCCCTCCTGCCTTCCCTGTCCTGCTCCCGTGCTAACTTGCTGATCCATGTTTCTGTCACTGCATGTGCATGTAAATGTATCCACGCCCCACGCCCACAGGAGGCGCTGCACCGCTCGATGGCTGGCGTTCCAGCTCGCCGGTCATCTCCGCTTCTCTGGTCGCCCGGGCCGAAGTGATCGCCGATCAGCCGCAGGACGGCCAGCCCGACGCCTCACCCGAGCCCGAGTCCCAGTCCCAGGCAAGCGATGATGACGATGATGACTCCTTCGAGGAGTTCTCCAGCACCGACTCGATCTCCTCGCTGGGCGGCTTTTCCGAGGACTCGGAGCAGCAGGAGCGTCTGGTCTTTGATCTGACTCTGCGCGTGAATGATGCCGTTCGCCTGGCCAGCCTCTCCTGCATGGCCACACCACAGACAACCCTCTGGTCCAAAGCGTCCGTCGGTCAGCCCTACCCCCTGGACAACCCGGCTGTGCGTGCCTCTCTCCGCCTCTCCTCCCTGCCTGCGTCTCCACCTCGTCCTAACCCATGGGTTATACCCCCCCCCCTGTACTCCCCCAATCCCCCCACACAACCAGGCGATGATGGGCAGTCTCCAGTCCTTCTCGACCGGGCCCTACACCGCCGGGCAGGTTATCACCGGTCGCGTGTCTTTCAACCTTCCTCTCGACCTGGAGCAGCGGCACTACTTCGCTTGTGTGCGTTCCCCTGCCTCCCCTCTGCCTGCTCTTGCGCCGGTCCCGGCATCTTGGCCCTAACCCCTCCCCCCCTTCCCTCGGGTGCCTTTCATCCTTTACACAGATCCTCGACCAGAATGGAACCATTCTTGCCAAGCTGCGGCTCCTCTTCTCCGGGCACATGCACCTGCCGGCCCGGCAGCAGCAGGCCGAGCGTGCCACCCGGCGCGAGCGTGACGCCTACCTGGAGCAGGTCCGCGAGGTCCTCGGGCAGGACGCCTACCGGGAGTACTTCGTCATTGGCCAGCGCTCCAGCATCAAGCCCAAAACCCGATTCATCTCGAATGATGCCGGCATCAAGCTGGCCTTCCACCTCTTCGAGCCGCAGACCACCGCGCCCCCGGCGGCATCGGCCGGCTCGGACCCCGCTGCCTCGGGGCCCGGCGACTCGCACGACCCGGCCGGCTATACGGCCCCCACTGCGCTGGTGATCATTCCCTGCCATGTGTTGGCCCTGTTCGAATCGCTGGCCCGGCACATGGCCAGCCATGCCAGCTTTCCGGTTGTGGTGGCTCTTGTCGAGCTGCAGGGCTACGGCCAGAGTGACGGCCGCCGAGCCACCAGCGAGGACCGGCAGGATCTCTGGCGCGACTTGCGGTCTTTCATTCGCCACCTGAAAATTTCCTTCCCCTGCCTGCCGGTGGTCTTGGGAGGGGCCTTCCGCTTCAGCGGCCTCGTGCTGAATTACGCCACCTGGCGCCAGCGCGAGCCCATCAATGCCCTGTTCTTCCTGGCGCCGGATGTCTGCGACGAAACCAGCAACATGCAGGGGATCATGAATTTCCACAAGGACATCCGCATCAAGGTCAACTGGACCACTCTGGCAGTCGGGGTGCTGACCGGCGGCCGAGTCCAGGGCGACCGCCCTGTGTATGAGCTCTCCTACCCGGAGGGCTTCACCCGCGCCGTGCCATCGGTGGTGGAGTCCGTCAGTGTGCGTTGCCTTGTTTTTCCCCCCCCCCCCTCTACATGTCCCCCCGGCCTTCGTCCATGGCCTCCATATTGATCCCCCACAATCCCCCCCCCCTCCCCCTCCCCCCTCCACGCCGCTCCAGATGAACAATCTCCTGGCCACACGCCCCGCCGATGCCCGGCGCCAGTTTGCCCAGCTGGATGTGCCGTTTGGCTTCTGGATTGGTGAGAACGACGAGTTCATCTTCTCCGAAAAGGCCTCTCTGATCCCGCATCAGGCCATCATCTCGGCCCAGTGCCCGGTCAGCGTGCGCACGCACTCGGAAATCCGCATCTTGCCAGATCTCGGGCACTTTGCCATCCTCGGCACACCGGGTGCCACGGCGGTTCTCCGGTGGATCCAGCGCGTCGTGCGCCAGGGCGTTGTCTTCCGGAACAGCATGCTCCGTCTGTCCCTCTGGTCGGCTTCCTGTCCGCTGCGTGCCGGTGCCAATCCCGTGGCGGCCAGTACCACCTCGGCCCCGGGGTCCGCCTCGTCAAGTCCCTTCCTCTCGGCGCCGCTCTTCCTGGGGTTCGGCGGCTCTGGCGATGTGTCTGGCTCGCATGAGTATGTCACCCCGCCGGCCGGGGGGACCGGGGTGTCGCCGGGCGCCCAGCGGGCCTGGGCGGCCCTGGCCGCTGCCTCCGGTGGCACTGGCCGCCCGGGGCACAACTTCGGCCCCGGCTGCTTGGCCCTGCCCTCGACGCCTGTTCCCCGGTCGATGTCCTTCTCGGTGTCCGGCCGGCGGCGGACGCACCTCTCCTCCGGCGGAGGGCCCATCCGGCCGGCGGGGCTTCTGCCGCTGGAGCAATTCCGCGTTTTGTCCCTCTCGCGCAACAAGGTCCTGGCCGAGCTCCGGCGCCTGTCCCGGTCGTCGGGGCTGGAGTTCGCGGCCGATGTGGCCGAGCAGGCGCGTGTCATCCTCTTCGACACGCGGGACTTCCTGCTGGCCGAGACCCATGGAGCTGGGGCTTTCTGTGCGGGGCTGGTGGCACATGTGCCCGCCGCCACGGCGGCCATCCTCGAAGAGCACCATACCCACCACCCTGTGGGGACGTTGGGCGGGGCCGGTCCCGTTGGTGGCCGCAGTCGCAGTGGCAGCATCCTCGGTTCGCTGGCGGCCGTGGCCACTGGCGGGTCAGCCAGTCCGCCTGGGGGTTCTTCCTCGCGACGGGCGTCGCTCAGCGTGCCGGACCCCGGGGCCCGCGCGCGGTCCGGCTCCACGACCGGCCCGATGCCGGTGTTGCCGCCCACCTCGGCAGCCCGGCCAATCGGCGAGTCCTCCGACGCCGGGGGCTACTTCCTGAACAGTGACGCCGGGGAGACGGCCGCCCCCGGGCACCTGGCTGGCATCGGGGCTGGAGCTGCCTGCGGCGGGTGCGAGGCCGAGGCATTGGAGCAATCTGCCGTGCAGGACCAACTGGCCCCGGGCCGGTATTACGCCGTCCGGCACTTGGTCCATGCGTGTGGCACATTGCAGCCCTTCCTCCAATTTGATCCGGATCCGGCTGTCGCGATGATGCCGGAGCCCGGCGAGGGCGAGCCTTCCGGGGGGGATACCCCGGAGCCCGAGCCGGACCGGGAGCCACCGGCGGCGGTCCCCTCCGCCGTGTCGCCCCTGCTGCCGGTTCCGGGGCTCACTTCCACCGGGGGCGGGGCCTCCATCTCGGAGATGCTGTCGCGATTCATCCCCTTCCCCGGGTCGTCTCGGAGTGCCGGGCCCGGTAGTGGGGCCGGACCCCCGATGTCGGCACCGGCCTCCCCGGCTCCGGACGCCAGGCCGGCCACGCCCCCGGCCTCGGAGGATTCCCCCTTGGCATCGGGATCCGGGTCCACGGAGCAGCATGTGTCCTCGCTGCCACCGCCGCCGGGGCCGGCTCCCTCGGTGGTGGCCATCCTCCTGGGTGGCCTCTGTACGGTGGGCCTGGCGCGAACCATCACCCAGCACTACCGGATCCGGGCCCTGGTGGACCTGGACACCGATGTCCTGGGCGGGGCATATGCCAGCATCCGTGGCCACACCCGGCTCCGGGTGCAGGAGCGCATCCGGCATCTGGTCAGGCACATGCGGTACAATGCGCCTGGCTGTCCGATTGTTCTGGTTGGCCATGGTGTGGGTGCTGCGCATGCGGTGCGCTACAGTCGCTGGCCCGAGCGCGAGCCCATTCACGGCCTGGTGCAGTTGGCCCCGGTGGCGGCCGACCTGCTGCGTGTGGACGCCGTGGTGTCGGCACTGGCCGATGGCATGCAGTCGACCGACGCCGAGGCCTGGTCCGTCGAAGTGGCCACCGAGATCCCGGCTGCCCGTGGCGCAGTGCCACCCCCCCCGGCCTCGGTGGGGAGACCGGCCACGGGATCCGCCTCGGGGCATTATCAGTTCCCGGCGAACTTCGTCCCGCCGGCCTTCATCAACCCCTTCAACTATGGCATGGCCGTGTGTTCGGCAGCCGCGGCGGCCGGTGGCCCTGGCGATCCAGTCGGACATGGTGAGGTGGCTGCCTCGGCCCTGATCGAGAGTGCCGTTCGCAGTCGGTCCAGCTCCCTGGCCGACTGCCTGACCTCGGAGACGGTCTTCTTCGGTGGCCAGGGCACCGACTCGTGGGAGGTGATCAGCACCGTGAGCCCCGGCGCACCGCCGGAGTCCATGGCCCCAGGTGGCAGCCGGGCACAAACGGCCCCCTCCTCGCCGGAGCAGCGTGCGTCACTGGTCGCCGGGCAGCACCAGCAGCAGCAGCAGCACCAGCAACAGGCAGCCCGGTATCGGAGCACATCGCGCCCGGTATCTCTGCCCACCAGCGCCCCGGCGGCCTTGGCACCGGGGGAGGCGCGGGTCCTGGCCGCGGCGTCGGTGGCGGCCAGCGCGCCTGTCGGGGATCTTCTGTCGCATGCCATTGCTCACCTGGTGTCGGGTATTGATGTGGCCTGTGCCGTGTGGTCGGGTGATGCGGATGAATTGACCGACCAGTCGCGCCTGGTGGAGGCCATTCGCAACAGCTGCACCATCGACAAGGCCCATGCGGCCATGGTGGTTGCGGGTCTCGGGGTGCCGGCCGCCAAGCCGGACACCAGCGGCAGCGGTGCCCCGTCCGGGGGCGCAGCATCCTCGGGCGTCGGTGGCGGGATTGCCGGCGGGGTGTCGCCCATCACGCCCCCTGGGGGCGGTCCCTCGGCCGGCGCGGCGGGTTCTTCTCTGATCCCCGGGGCTGGCGCCGGTGCCGGTGCCTCTCCCTCCTCGTCGTCCTCCTCCACCGGCCTGGCCATGGGAGGTGTAGGTGGCCTCGGCGGGGGCGCCAATGCGGCCGCCACCAGCGTCGACCCGGCCACCGGCCAGCTGACCGACCTGTCCGTGAGCACCCTGCGCCAGGTGGAGCTCCTACATGGGACCTCCTACTTCAGCATCCTGCTCACGACCTCCCCTTCGGTTGGGGCCTGGATCAATGAGCTGGCGCAGTTGCTGTCGCCGCACTCCAGCCACTCGAGGCTATTTGGGCGTCTGGACGACCCGAAGGCCGTGGCGCGCTATGGGCCGCTGACCGGCGAGGCCTTTGAACGGCGGAGCATGCTCGGGCGCGGTGCCTTCGGCACGGTGCACCTGGTCCGGCACCGGCCCTCCGGTCGGACCATGGCCATGAAGGCCATGAGCAAGAATCGCCTTGGGCTGGCCGAGTTCCACAAGGACATCCTTGGGGCCATCCGCGAGCGCAATGTCCTGCGGGAGCTGGCGCACCCGTTCGTCGTGTCCTACTATGGGAGTTTCCAGGACGAGCGGCATCTCTTCATCCTGATGGAGTACATTGTTGGTGGCGAGGTGCGTCATGTGGAGGGCTTTTCCCCTCTGCCGGGCTGGGTGCCGGCTCTGGGTGATCTTACTGTGCCACGTGTGCTGGTCTCCCCCCCCCGGCCGCCACTCCATTTTCCTCTTCTCGCCCTTTTCTGACTCCCCCCTCGCTTGCCGGATTTGCCTGCACCCTCTGGAAAATGGCCACCATCCCTCCTCTCTCTCTCTCTCTCTCTCCCTCTGTCGCTGGGTGTGCCTCACTCGCAGATGTACACCCACCTCAAGGCCGAGCACCATTTCAGCGAGGCACGCGCGCGCTTCTACACCGCCGAGCTGATCCTCTTCCTGGAGTACCTGCACCAGCGCGGCCTGGTGTACCGGGACCTGAAGCCGGAAAATATCCTCATCGACGCGCAAGGGCACATCAAGGTCACGGACTTCGGCTTCACCCGGAGTCTGGTGCCCCGGCTGCCGGGCAGCGGTGATGGCCAGAGCACCGACACCGGGGGCTTGATCGGCTCCTCGGCGGTTGGCGGGACTGGCGGCGCGGCGGCGACGGCGGCGGCGGCGGCGGCCCCGGCCCCGCGCATGCTCGCCGGCGGCAGCGGCCCCCAAGGTGTCCTCATCCAGGCAACGCAGTCTTTCTGCGGCACGCCGGAGTACATTTCGCCGGAGATGATTCGCAAGAACTTCTACACCTTCTCCACGGACCTCTGGTCGCTGGGCATCCTGGTGTATGAGATGCTCACTGGCGCCACGCCCTTCGCGCGCAGCCGCTCGCTGGAGGAGCTGTATGTGAACATCCTGCGCGCACCGATCGGCTACCCGAACACCATGAGCCCGCTGGCCAAGGACTTCATCCGGTCGCTGCTGCGCAAGGCTCCAGATGACCGCCTCGGCACGCGCCGGGGGATGATTGAGCTCCAGGAGCACCCCTGGTTCCGGGGGATCTCCTGGGAGCATCTCCGCCGTCGGGAGGTCGAGCCGCCCTTCGTGCCGCGCATCATGGGCGAGACCGACACCACGTACTTCCTAAGTGCGGCAGGGCCGCCGCCGGGGGCGGCCGCCGGGGGCAACCCCGGGTCGGCCGCCTCGGCTGCTGCCCCTCCGGCTGGACCCACCTTCTCCAACAGCGTGTGGGCTGACCATACGCTGCCTTCAGACCCGAAGCGCCTTGCACCTGAGGTGTACACCACGCTCTTTGAGAGCTTCTAGCTGCGCGTTCGCACATGTGCATGCATATGACGCGCCCGACACAGACACACCCACATACATAGGAGCGAAAAAAAATAATAATGATAGTAATAATATGTAAGTGTGCGTGCGTGTTTTTGTGCGCGTTGGTGAGCGCGCCCGGACCGGTTCTCTCGTGACGCGAGTGATGTCAACTGGCCTTCCTCGCCCGAGTGGGCGTCTCCCCCCCACCGTTGAAGATCGCTCTGCCGCACGAGCGCATATGCCTGGCTCTGCTCCTTCCTCTTCCCCCTTCCTTGTTCCTCTCCCGCCTGTTCTGTGTCCTTGTTCCTCTGCCCCATACACTTGTCTTGTATGTATGTGCGTGTATGTGCATGTGTGTGCGTGTGTGTGTGTGTGTGTGTGTGTATGTGTGCCTTATCCTGTGACGGGTGTGAGCAGGGTTGTTTTGATCTCGGGTGTCCGGCCAGGCGTGCATGATGTCTACCCGGGTCCCTACCCCCAGCCATGGTGGCGCCTTTCTCTGTCTCTCCCCCTCTCCCTCTTTGGCATCCAGCTAGCGAGAAAAAAGAAGGAGAGGCGAGGCGAGGGCGCGCGGTCGCCGGGGACCGCGCTTGGGACGGGTGATGCTTGGTTAAGGCAATGCCGGGTCCGCGAGCGAAGGTCGCGGAGGAGCAGGGGCTGTGGGGCCGGCCAGGCGCCCCTTTCCCCGCAACAAGGCTTAGCGGAAGTCCCACGAGGGAAAGGAATATTAGGCAAATATTAATTGGCCGATGAAAGGGCCAGCGCCATTCGCCCATCTATCGGCCCCATTTCCGGATGAACATCTGATCTCGCTAGCACAGATGAGCAGCTTGTCCAATTTCGACCGTAGATCAGGGGTGCACATGCTCAGCGGGTCTCGAAAATACTCTTCACGGATGATCGGCCCGGCAAATCTAACTTCTGGCCCCCGGCCGGGGGGGGAAAACGATCTTGCGTTCCCACACGGCCGCCAGGCGGGCTGGGCGCTTCGCCCTCGGCGTCGCGCGTGCCCTCCCCAGGGCAACCGGTCAGGCATCCTCCTTCAACAACGACGCCCCAAGAGCCTGCTCCCGCCGCCCCCCCCCCCCCCCCCCAGCGCCCCTCCCGCCCTCGTCGCCTGCTGGCCCCAGGGGGCGAGGGC